CACACGCACACACACTTTTCTTTACACTGTATGCATGATCCTGGATTAGAAAACAATTACTCTACTTGTATTGTTGATAAAATTTGAATATTGCATACTAGTACTTTGCCATTGCTAAATGTCTTAGAACGTAATGTTTGTACTATATTTATACATTTTGGACTAACAGGTATGAAATCTGACTTATTCTTAAGTGGTTCAAAATATTATCATTGTCATTATCATTATTATTAATAATAATTTAAAACCAGTAAAACTGGAGGTCATTTCTTACTATTCCTGTAACTTTTCTGTCTACTGAAATACTTTAGAGTAAAACATGGATGCTTAGAAGTGTTCTTAACCTTTTCATCCTCAGAGCCCTATGAGTTAGATATTTTTATTGTCTTCATTTAGAAAAGGATGCTCAAGTAGGGGGACTTCAAGAACTTTCCCTAGTGTTGCATAACCAGTGAGGTGTGAGGCAAGATTTGAACCCTAATCTGTCTGTCTGTCTGTCTGTCTGTCTGTCTGTCTGCCTACTTACTTATATACCTGCTTATCTACTTACTTCTTGCTTTCATATTTCAAAATACCTTACATATGTGCTTGGCTAAACCATTTAGAAATTGCTTTTCTGCGATCATTTTCCCATTACTAAAGAAGTTATTTGGCATGATTCATCCTAGAAGCAGGAATCGCCTCTTTACACATGAGCAGTTGCTTTGCTGCGGGTCTTCATGGCTAGACAGTGTAGATTCTGTGGCGATTTTGTCCCCTCACTCACCACGTCTCCCTGGCCTACCTGACTCATGGTTAGAATTTGATATGTGTCAATTGAATGCCCACTAACATTCAAGAAAGCTTTGGTTTCTTCTGTCTTCTCTTTTCATTTACATTTCCTTTTGTATCGTTCCCCCCGTATCAGTGCTGTTTGCAGGAAGATCCATTTTAGAAACTCAAAAATGTAAAAAAACATTCAGGCTCCCCCCCCACCCGCCGCTCCAATAAGCATACAGTGATTTGGGCTGGATGTATATGCCATCTCCAGAATGACATCCTCTCTAGTCCTAATTTGAGCAGTAAATACATTTTTAAAAAACATCATTTGCCTCTAAAAAGAAACATTATTTCAAAATGGAAGCCATGTTCCACTAGTTGGCATATTGGGTTGTTAGAAAAGTTGTATGGTTTGCTTGTAAGGAATGGCAAGCCAAGGAACATTCAAACTTGGCCAATTGCAAACTTTTTTTTTCTATCTGTGATGACACCTGGTTTTAAAAAATAAAATTGGCTCCAAGCTCAAAGGAGAAAGAATATTGAAAATGGGCAGAAAATTAAACAGCATCGTGTATTGTCTTATTTTGGACAAGAAATTATAAAGAACTGTTTTCTTCTTACTACAGTAAAGAGCAGGGGGAAAAAAATACAACAAGGACAGACACTAAACAGTAATGACAAAACACTGATAACAGCTGATGTCCATTGAATACTTACTAAGTGCTAGATGATACTATTAATATTGATGCAAAAGAACCTCATGAAGGGAGGTTTAGTTTTGTTTTGTTTTGTTTTGTTTTGTAGACGAGAAGACCCAGATTAGGGACACAGATGTTTAGTGATCACCTTCAGCAGGCTGATCCCAGGCAGGGCTACCTTCAGGGCCCATATTCCCTTGTACTGCTCCGTTCGGACTAGCCTAGAGACGTCATCATGGCTGGCATGATGAGGAAGAATTAGAATTAGCTAGTTCCATTGAGTATAATAGCTCTTACTTCCCCTTGTGACACAGATGGTAATTTTTCCAGAACATTCTCAGAGCTGCACACCAACATTAATGTGTTCCTTAAACATCTTCCATTACAAGGCCTATCATTGGAGATATGTGTTCAGGTTTGTTATTTCTAGGTGGACAGAGGGTGTTAACCAGTGAATTAGGGAGTCGGAGGTAGTGTAGTGAAGACTGAGGAGATGAAAGGACTTAAGTTTATTGTAGAACAAGAAAAATAATGGGAATATAAGGATCGTAGGTGAAGATTCCATTTAACTTAGTCAGTGATACTGTGGAACTATGGTTTTTTTTAGAATTATGTTTTTTTTTAATCACCTGGAATATTTAGTGGAAATAATTGGTTAGTGTTTAATTGTCACTCCAACTATCATTTGTTTTCATTCATTCTTAATTTCACTAGAAAGTATTTACTGTATGCCATCTAACAGTCTACAATATGTAACGATGTAGGTGTGAAGGGATAGCAATGTCTCAAATAAAGGCTTTGCTTTAGGAAAGCAATTAAGTCTAAAAAGTGAGAGGAGGACAACAGTGAGGCAAAACAGTTCAGTTCCCTCAAATGTTTCAGGCGCTGAGACAAATGTATAATAGGAGACCATAAGAGAATTAAAGGCATAGGTGAAATCTACCCAGTCATCAGTAGGGAAGGGTGGTTATAGAAGAGAACACCTTTAAATCAAGACTTTAATTACCTGAAGATGGAGGTAGGTAAGTAAAGGTAATTGAGGTAGAGAAAAGAGCATGAACAAGATAAGAATTCAAATTAGCTGGGCGTCAGTGGCTCACACCTATAATCCTAACAACTCTGGAGGCTGAGATCTGAGGATTGCTGTTCAGAGCCAGCCAGGGCAAGAAAGTCCATGAGACTCTTATCTCCAATAAATCACCAGAAAATTGGAAGTAGTGCTCTGGCTCAAGTGGTAGAGCACTAGCCTTGAGCTGAAGAGCTGAGGGACAGTGCCCAGGCCCAGAGTTCAAGCCCCATGACTGAAACCCCCCCCCCCTCACAAAAAGAATTCAAATTAAAAAATTTTGACAATCACATTGCTATTTATTAGTTCAAAGGTATGTATTTTTTTTTGCACCACAACATCTCTGAAATCTTGACATCATGCATAAATTTAATTGGCTGTTTTATGTTTTTGCTGGTATATAAAATACCGGTATACCTTACAATCTTTCTGTGACATTTTAAAATGGATAAAATAGCTATTAATATTCTTTGTTATCGAGTGGATGTGTGCTGTTCCAGCTGCTGATATGTCTTTGTTTTAGACGTAGATAGAGATGAATCTTCTTTATTAAAGAGGAAACAGGCATGAAGTGTCTACATTCCTTTATGAGTTTATGACATTCTGTTTGACAGAAGACTTGACATCTGATGTTGCTTTTAATAGCAATGGCTGGTAGCAGTGGAACCTGGGGAAGACAATTGAGGTGTCTTACATACTGGAGTAGGCTGAGAACCATCACATTGACTTTTCCCAAGGTCAAAAGCAAGTTTGAAATGCAAATGTGTCAGGATTGAGGCTTTATAAAGATACCCGATTTATGCTGCATTACATAAAACTGCACCTACCATGCTTGCTGTCAGGATGGAGCTGTGATGATTATAATGTCTTATACACAATGAAAACGGAATATCTATACTCTGTCTCTCAAGGCAAAAGAAAATGGCTAACATACAAGCTGCACCAGTTCTGATGTGTGTATCCGAATAAAGAAAATCTGAGACATTTTAGTTGGTGATAATTATCTGAGAACATATCCAAGATAGAAGCTAAGCACCCTAAAAGCTTACATTTAAAGCACATAGGTATCATGAAAATATGGAAGTATGGGTTTCTGTTATCATTAAATCCTTATATGACCTTCAGCAGGTCAGTTGAACTTATATTTTAGTTTCCCAGAAGACTGGACAAGGCTTTTGATAGCTACTCTTGCTGTGACTTATAGTATGCCTAGAATGTGGCAGCATTGAGTGGAAAAATTTTCTCGTGTCTTGTTGTCTTTTGGTTTTAATGATCCCAACTTTATCAATGAAAAAAAAAAAGATGGTATATTTAAGAAGGAAACTTTAGGGCATAATATGCTAAAAATTGAGATCATTTTAACTTTGATTTGTAAGAAGTGGGAACAGAGTGTATAGTTACTGAGTCTTGACCTGCTTGGTAAAAAGTATTTCAAAAAGTACATATATGTACAAAGAATGTCTAAAAATGATTCAACTATTATTAAGTTTTTAAATAAATGAATCACGGCTCTGTTAGTCTTTTTTCTCTTTGCTTTTCACTTTTCCATAATGACACAGATTTTTGTGGGCTTCTTTGTTTTCTGACCCCCATTTGTAATATACTACTAAGGTTTTCTACAATAGAGGATTATAACTTCCAAAATGAAAAAAAAAAAACCTGTCACATTTAGTCTTTAGTGAATGTTTTATGGCTTTCTCATACTGATTTGTTTTTAAACGATTACATTTCCAATGACAATGAATTGAGAGGAAGAGGAAAAAACATTAAGGTTGGAAAGAGAAACAGCTAGACTTATAAAAGGCTTTCTAAAAGGACTTTTTAGGAAGTGTGAATTTTGAGTGAAATAAGGCAATTTAAATTAGGTTTTATCAGCAGTGTCAGCTTTTTTTGCTGATTAATCAAGATTTTTATTCTGAGGGAAAAATAATTTGGTTTCAGACAGGTAATTCTATCAACCACCTTAACTATTTAAGTAAAGCTCTTTTTTTTTTTTTTAATTTTTTTTTGGTCAGTCGTGGGGCCTGAACTCTGGGCCTGGGTGCTGTCCCTGAGCTCTTCAGCTCAAGGCTAGTGCTCTACCATTTGAGCCATAGCACCACTTCTGGCTTTTTCTGCTTATGTGGTGCTGAGGAATCGAACCCAGGGCCTCATGCATGCTAGGCAAGCACTCTACCACTGAGCCACCTTCCCAGCCCAAGTAAAGCTCTTACAAGATATGACAATATAAATTTCAAAATACTTCTACCATAGAAAGAGTGAAATTTGCTACCATTCTGAGTGGGGATAGGGAAGGTTTCCTATAAAGCTTTATGGCTTTGCCATTGCAATTAGAGAAAGCTTTTGATATCAACAACACTAAAAAAAAAAGAGCCAAGGACTCTCTAAAATGAGTTCTTGATGTATGTGTGTACATGTGTATGTACTGATTTCTGATGTAAGGGACATAAAAGCTAACCTGATTCATTTGTTTTTAGGGGCTCTTGGCTTTGGGCCTCAGTGCAAGTCCATTGGAAAAGGCAGCTGCAACAATCTAGTGGTCACCAGCAGTCCCATGATGGTTCAGCGACTGGGACCCATTTCACCTCCAGCAAGCCAGGTCTCCACAGCATGCAACCAGATCAGTCCTAGCTTACAGAGGGCAATGAATGCAGCCAACCTGAATATACCTCCTTCAGATACCAGGTCTCAAGTTACTTTTTTTCCCCCCTTCCTTATGGTATAATCACACCTCACAAAATGTTTTCCCTTTTCTTCCGGAACATGACACACATGGCACACACACACACATACACACACACACACACTCAATAGACACACACCTCAATATGAGCTCTCAGTATGAGTTTTGCAGGGAATTATGTCTAAAAACTAATCTTATGTCATCATATCTTCTTCATTGGGAGGCATGCCTTTAGTAAGTACTGTTTGGTGGTGTAAGTGAAAGAAAAAAAAAAGGAGATTTCTGGGCTTTGATGACTGAAGTCCAGGGTGTCTATTTGTCACTTCTGGTGAGTAAGTTATATCATAACTTAGCAAATTGAGATGTCCTAGTCACATTTATCATACCTCTTACGTTTCCAGTGTTTATATTGTAAAGTCTCTAGGCTGCTATCAAGCGATTTTGTCAAACCAGCCATCCATCTACCCACCTACCCAAATCTGTATTAAATATCTACTGTTTGCATAATACAATAGGTTAGGGAGATACTAGAGAGAATAAAGGTAGAATTCATGAATTTTAAGACTTTATGATGTGTCTGGGAAGACATATTTTCATATATGAGTTATATAACATTTCAACACAATGTCTGATTCGTGGCAGAATAAGTAGGTACAATAAGTGCCATATGTCTATCTATGTGGGTGAGATTTAAGTAGAAAGTAAAAATTAAGCCCTCAGACAAATGTATATCACAACGTTTGTACTCGGGGTGGGACATTCGCTCAAAGTATTGTATAATGTTTAAGCTCTGTTTCCTTTTTAGGTTAATTATATCATCCTTTAGAAGTTACCATCTTAGAAAGACAAAGTTTTGTCCTCTTGAGGCTAGTTTCTACTGTAATTATGATTTTGCAGACTCATTTTACTCTCTACTTTCACGTTATTTCTCTTATTTTATTTCCTACTTCCTTGGGTTCTAACCCACTAACATGCCTTCTGGTTTTGAGACCCTGTCATTTCCTTTGTTTCTTTCTTCTACTTCCTCTTCCCCCTCCCATCTCCCTCCACTCTTTTCCTAGCCTCCAACTGAGACTCAGAAATCAGAATTCCTGGATCATTTATTTATGCCAATTTTTTTTCATGAGATGGAAACTTGTTTTTCACCGGAGACTTTTTGTGATGGGAAGCCGCTGTCATTTTCCCATTGATGATTTTGCCTTGAGGGACTCCTGAGACTTGCTGTGTGTGCTGCATGCAGAATTAACTGTGTGCATGGGTGGGTGTCACTGAGAAGCCTTCAGCGTCTTGTCTGGCAAGTCCAGCCCATGCCTTGAAGGCAGTCATAATTAATGGAGAAACTGATGGTAGTCAGCGCACAGGCTCAAGCCTTGTACCTTTGTAGGTCCTTTCATGGGTCGGCCAGAGAGAGGTCATTATCTCCGTGTTTTCTGGCGTATTTGAGTCCTTAGCATAATTTTATATCCTTAAAAGATAACACCTTCCAGTGCACTGACAAGTGTTTTTGACTATCTATTTTGTGAGCCCTTCTTGTGGAAATACATTTTTTTTTTTGCAGGATGAGTTATAATAAAAACGAGTTGGTGAAGGATGGAAACTTATTTTCAGCAATTTGGAAAGGTTGCCTATTATTTGTAATCTTTAAATTGGTTTGAGAGTTCCAACAGTGGAAAGAAAAGAGTCCAAGGCAACCGTTAGACATTTTACAGTCTAGAGCTAAAAAAGATGATGATGAAGGAAGCAATTTAGTGTTTTGTTTACTGGGAGCCTGGGGGGCTCAGAGAGGGCATAAACTGTTAATCTTAAGAGATGTCTGCCATAAGAAAAGTTGTAAAACTTGTTGCCCTCCCCCCACAATTATCTCTGTAATTCTTATTCACTTTAGAAAATGTGGAATCTATAGAAAAGCATGAGGTGTGAATGGTAGCCTCCTTAAATCTTGACACCTAGAAACAACCATGGATGGAACTTTAAAATCTGGGTTTTATTACTTCCTATTAATTGAATTGACATGATTTTGTAACCTTTTCCTTCAGTTTATATGCTGTATAAAGTCTTTTGTAAGAAAAACCTCCTTTAGTTCTAGATGATTTCTTTCTACCTCAAATTCCACTTAATAAAGAAAGAATATAAACAATATGGAATTGTTATCACTTTTTTATTACTAAGCATTTAGTATTTTACCCCCAGTGTTACTATAATATAAAGACTGCTTTATGGGATTAACCAATGAACCTTCTATTTCATGTCTCTAGTTATTACAATCAGTTCCTAGAAGCAAAATCGGCTAGTTCAAAAGAGTTGTATTGCTTTGATACGTTTCACATGTATTTTCAAATTCACCAAGGGTCTATGACTGCTTACATCTTACCAAAAATATTTTCTTACATCTTATCAAACATTAAGTGTAAGTCTTTTCAGCTTGAGGTAGAAGATGTTTCCATCTTAATTTGTATTTCCTAATTATCAGTTATTAATAGTTTTCATAGATTTATTGGCTTTATTGTTTTACCTTTTCATTTGAGTCTGTTTTTCTCCAGAGATTCAAATCTTGAGAAAAGCTCTTCTTTCTGAGCTTTGTTGAGCTCTGTTTAATCCAGTGCTGAGAATCATACCTTAATGGATTTCCCTTGATTAATTCTCCAGCCATTTTTGACTAATCCATCTTCATGATAAATGGAAACCATTCTTAGTTGAGGCATAGCCTAAACTCTGTTCTAGAGAAGGGCATCCCTTTTTCTCCCAGATGTCAAGGCTGGGGCACAGATGCACTAAAAGACAGTGGATCAGATCCTAATCTAGGAAAAGAAGAAGACATAGGATGCTGCTTGAGTGGGCTTTGTATGCTGAGCTTCTCAGGTGTTTCCACCTACTGTGCTTCTGCATTTTATGACTGGAAATTCATCCTAGCTGTAAATTAGCCCGATTGAAGATGTGATGGATCTAAGACATGGAAAATCTGAGTGTTTTGCCTAGTTCAGTTCGCTGGTCAGTCACAAAGTTCAGCTAGCCACTTGCATTGAACTAGCTCTTTATCTTCCAAACGGGACATTTTTTGATGGTGATTGCTTTGTTTGTTTGTTTGGAAATATGTCCACCAAACTCAGAGAAAGCTAAGAGTTGGAGACCATACACTGGAATATCTCTCTAGGCTCAAACATTTTTTTTTTTTTTTTTTAGGCTCAAACATTTTTATAAAGCCATTTTATATTCAGAAGCAGTGTGAATTCTTTGGGATTATTTATCAAGGCACATAGACAAGAGCTTCGAGGTAGACTAAGGCTGGTCTTCTTCTCTATGATCTATGGCACTAGGAGACATAGATTTTGGTGAGGATTATTATTAGCTTGAGGAATCCCATGTGATACGAAGCAGGAAACTCAACTTAGCCACCATACCTTTCACTGCTTCATGAGAGTTAACTTTTCCAGCCATCCTAAGCTTTTCTTTGCTGATGGGTTCTGAGTTTTTTTTTAATATTGCTTTCATTTTGTTTGAGCTGTACCCCCTTTTCTTTCATAAATAGTCACCAGAAATACCGTCCTTAGCGTCGGATAAACATATGGAGGTGGAGACTGCTCTCAGTATGATAACCTACCTCTCTGAGCCTTTTGCCACCTTCTTTTCCAGGAGCTTGGTAGGTATGTGCTGTAGCAGGGATCCCAGGCAAGACATTTTGGCAGCCGTCACACTCATTCAACATACTGTTACAGAAAGAAGAGAACACTTGTGTTCTGGTCATCGTGTATGTGCCTTGAAACTCGTTTAACCAGTTCTTTCAGCCAAGCAGAGTATTAGGGGACCATGTATAGGATGTAGTGTGAAGAAATCAACAGACACAGGTGATTCAGCTAGGTTCCTATTTCATTTGTACTCCCCTAAGAAACCCTCCTCTCGCTTACCTACCACACACCATCCCTTTGGTGTAACCAGGAGAGGAGTTTCACAAAACTTCAGGTGTATTTGCTATGTAAGAAAATATTTGAATGTCAGATGATACCTAGGGAAAATGTTTTGTAAGCAACAAATAATATCATTATGATTATTTACTGACTTTCTTTTTGAGACAGTGCCTCACTTTGTAGCCTAAGTTGGTCTTGAATTCTTAATCCTCTTTGGCTTTAGCCTCTTGACTGCTAGGATTAAAAGTATGAGCCTGTGCCATTCTCCTTATATTCACTTTCTTGACCAATGATTTTTTTTTTTGAGTAGTTAGTATGTATGGAATATTCTGGCAAATACTGACTAGGGGGTCAAAAATCTTCCCTTCAATTTAAAGATTTTGACTTTTATGGAAGAAGATACCCACAGATGCTTTACACTATATCATCTTTGAAAGGAGAACTCTTACTGAGAATTAATGCAGTGGGGAGAGGTTTCATGTATTAGAACTTAGAGAGAGAGAGAGAGACAGAGGCAGGGACAGAGACAGACAGAGAGACAGACAGAGAGACAGACAGAGAGACAGAGACAGACAGAGAGAGATTGTTTTCTGTTCATTAATGGTAGAATACAGAGTCTACTTTCTTAAAGATAGTTAACTGTATCTTTAAAACTGAGATGGCCAGAGAGTTAAGCAATATGCTTTACTAGGTCATGCTCAGATTTGAATTAAGACAGTTATACATAATTTGAGAGAAATGAGAATCATCTCTCAATAATGTGATAATAAGCACATCTCACTGTAGGTTGCCCTCAATCCAAGTAATACTCTGTAAGCTAGATTTATACAGGTAGATAACCTGGTCTGTTAATCATTGCTTAAAAGTCTGAAATGTTCTAAACTGATGTTGACAGGTACATGTAACTACCGGAGAATGGGCTTTGGGCATCCGTGTGACCATGGAGCTCTCCCTCTGATAAAGCTCTGGTCCTTGATATTCTATAAGCTTTCTTGACCTCAGAGTATACAACAAAGTTAGTTGTCTCTGCATCCTATATGACATAACTACTGATTGACCCTGGGTCTGAAAGCAATTCCTGCCTCTCACTGGGAAAGGGACCTTGACATCCAATCATCGGGAGCCGTCTGCCTAGCTCACAGGAAGAGCTCATGCTGCAAGGATGCTAGGAAAATAATTGAAAAGTCTCCATGGGGAATTAAAAAAAACACCCAAAACACAGATGGTTCAGGAACTTCTCAGCCCAAATGTGGACCAAGAAAGAAAAATCTTACTTAAGGGCAACTGGACATAAACCCTGCTGTGTTGGTCATTGATAAACATTACTGCTCCCGATGGTGACTTTATGTCGATCAGAGTCTCTCACCTTTCTGCTGTGCATTTCGGAGCAGAGGTGTTCTTATATCTCATGATGGTGTGAAATAGTGCTTTTGGCTTCCATCTTGTGGCACCAAAGACGTTTTGCTTATCTTTTCTAGGAGCTCCTTTGTAAACAGGTTGATGTTTAGCAGCTGGAGATAGTGAATGTGTTAATTTTGGAGAGACACACATTTTTGTATTACGTTTGTTGTAATTAGTTTCTTATTCCCCCCCCCCCCCTCAAAATCACCATAGAACACCAGCACAGGTACATATAAATAATCCAGGTTTTTCTGCCATATACTTTGTCTAGTTCAGGGACTACACTGCCTATGCTATATGCCTATATGTCTAGCCTATTTGTGACAGGTGTTCTAAGAAAGACACCTTTTCTCTTCCATTCATTTTTAAGGCAACAATGTCATATTAACATAAAATGATTTCCCCAGGGCCTGAGCTACATTATAAACCATTTTGATATACAATATGTTGTGACATACGAAAGCATGTTTTCTGAAAGGTTAGCACAGGAAAGGAAACTTGCAAAAGTGAACTACTATAAGTCAGTTGTTTACTCTCAGCCTCAAAAGTACTCTGACATAAGGACAAGAGCTCATAGAAACACAGAGACCCTCAAATGTGATTCAACTTTATGTGCCCCCAATGTGTAATTCCAAATTGGACAAGATTTCACTTTCTTACTTCCTTATATATTATGGATGTATTTTATATTATAAAAAATTGACAATAGAAATTCAAGGTAGAGCCCCTGTGTTCTAAGTGTGTGCTCTACCACTGAGCTACACTTCCACCCTATATATGTTATATATAGTTTTCATTTACTGGAGTGATTTAATGTGACTGTTTATTGACAGTATAAGTTGCTTTGAAAAATCTTTATTTTTTCATAAAATTTTAAACTTATCTTGAAGTGTAGTTGAACAAAGGGGTTCCAATTCAACATGTCAGTTTTTGAACACAATGTGTCTTGATTAATGTCACCCCTTCTGATGTTTTCCCCAACCCCAACCATCCACTCAAGTTATCTGATTCCAATTTCACTTGGCTGCACTGAATACTATGACCCTAGCTAATTTGCTAATATCAATGAAGGTATTACTAAGTCCCTTAGGCAGCTCTTTGACCATAAAGATTTACTTTCCTTTTTCTAATCTAGCTGATTTTTTTTTTTTTTTAACCGCCACTGAGTAGGGTTTACTTGACTCTTTGCTTAGAACTCCTGGGACTTGTGTATTTGGCAAAAGCCTGTCACAGCGTGCTGCACGCAGTAGGTGCCTCATGACCACTTATTTAGTTGGTTTGCCTTCACAAACATCACAGTTTTCCCCAGGTCTTTATAATTTCCCTCTTAACCTTAAAAAAAAAAAAGATATTCAAGAATAAAGACTGTTGATTACCATTGGAAGTATTAAGATTATGCAGAAGACCTTTTCTTTGGTTATTTCTATAAGCATTGGATTTTATTTTAGTATTATTGACCTGTAAGGAAAAGCCTCGAATTTCGTTTTAGCCTCCCCCAGATTGTGGCGATTGTAATTAGGGCAGATACTTAAGTGTAATGCGTTCAGCTCTTAAGCAACGCTGACTTGCTCATTTCTTCTTTTCTTTCTCTTTTCCCTCTGGCTGTCGCTCCAGGTCTCTCACTTCACGGGACTCTGTGGCTTCCACGACTTTGAGTCTGACGGAGAGTCATTCGGCCTTGAGTGTGAAACGAGAGTGGTCTCAGGACTACCGACCCCTCCCTTCGCTGGCCTCCAGCCACGGCTCTCAGAACGGCGTCGATCTAGGGGACCTCTTTAGCCTTCCTCCTGGGACATCCATGTCTAGCCACAGCACCTCGAACTCATTGCCGTCCTACCTTTTCGGCATGGAAAACAGCCACTCGCCTTACCCCAGCCCCCGACACTCCTCCACGCGCTCCCACTCGGCCCGCTCCAAGAAGCGAGCGCTGTCCCTGTCCCCGCTGTCCGATGGCATTGGCATTGACTTCAACACCATCATCCGCACGTCGCCCACCTCCTTGGTGGCTTACATCAACGGATCGAGGGCCTCCCCGGCCCACGTGTCCCCCCAGCCAGAGGTCTACGGGCATTTCCTGGGGGTGCGTGGCAGCTGCATTCCCCAGCCGTGCGCGGTGCCCGGTGGGCAGAAGGGCGTGCTGGTGGCCTATGGTGAAAATGGGGCGCCGGAGTACGAGCGCATGCAGCAGCTGGAGCACGGTGGCCTGCAGCCGGGCCAGGTCACCAACATGGTGGTGCAGCATGGCCTGCCCGGGCCGGATGGCCAGCCGGCTGGCATGCTCAAGACGGAGCGCCTGGAAGAGTTCCCAGGCAGCGCCCTGGACCTACCCTCCGCCCCCCCTCTTCCTCCTCTGCCACCACCCCAAGGCCCCCCACCCCCTTACCACGCCCACCCACACCTTCACCACCCCCCGGAGCTGCTGCCCCACGCGCAGACCCTGGCCCTGCCCCAGGCCGCCCTGGATGAGGATGGAGAGATGGAGGACCTGGGGGGCAAACACTGCTGTCGCTGGATAGACTGCAGCGCGCTGTATGACCAGCAGGAGGAGCTGGTGCGGCACATCGAGAAGGTCCATATAGACCAGCGCAAGGGGGAAGACTTCACCTGCTTCTGGGCTGGCTGCCCCAGAAGGTACAAGCCCTTCAATGCCCGCTACAAACTGCTCATCCACATGAGGGTTCACTCTGGGGAGAAGCCCAACAAGTGTACGGTGAGTTTTCTGAAACCGCAAGGGGCCATCTTTCCTAAAGGTCCAACTCGATTTCATGTGTGTAGCTTTCCACATTTTGGAAGGCAGGTGAGGAGACAGTTCCTATTTTGGGGGTGTTGGGCTGTGGGATGGGCATGTGTGTCATGAGATCGGACACTTCTTCAGCCTGGCCTTTGATGAGTGGTTGGCAACTGGTTTCTCTCCCTATCTAGGTTCTCCTCAGCAAAGGTGTATGATCCACTGTCTTAGGGTGAGTCAGGCTACCACAAGGGCCAAGATTGTGGACAGTGTCCCTGGGCCCAGACTTAAAGTTTCCAGAAGAACATGAACTTGGCACCAGCATTGGCCGCTTTTTCAGTGATTTCTCTTTCCTTCCAATAACTGAATGAAAATATCATTTAGGGGAGTTGGTTATGGTATGGAAGAAACAAAGAAACCCACCACTTGGTAACTTGGCAAAAATGTTGTTGCATACATCCATATGCCTGCACAGTGCACCTTGCAAAGATGATCCATTTATAGCCAGCATAGGAACAAAAATAACCCAGAGGGCACACAGAAGCAGAAGCTGGCAGGATCCTAACTAATTTTAAGGAGGACAAATTTTGTGAAGAGTATAAGGAGAAAGCTTTGAGAAGGGAATGTGTCTTTCCTTTTGAATGAGCTTGGTATCTCTCCTCCCCACCCCTACCCCCACCCCCCACCACGTTTCCCCTCTACTGTTAATCCTGGAACTCTACTTCTTGGCAAAACATACGATTTCTGAGTAATAGAATTCTTAAATGATTTCACAACGATTTCACACCTCACATAAACCTTCAGGGTTTATAAGAAGGACATCACTTTTGGGACCACAAGGATGGTTTTTCATAATCTCAGATGGCTTACTTAACTGTTGAAATGGGAGAACACGTGTTTTGTATTAGTTGAGATGGACAGGGATATTTCTTTAGAGCTAAAAAATAAAAATCTGAGAATTCGGTGTGCTCCCTGGATATCCAATATGCTGGCGGTCACTAAATATGTGAAGTATTATGAATCAATTTGGAAAGAAACTTATTCAGACTGTGATCTCTCAACCAGAGGCCCTTCCATCTCTCTAGGATATCATGTTCGAAAGTATCTGGACTATATTTATATGCTTGATTGTAGATTGTCTGAGCTGTCTGGTTCATGCAAGAGCAAACCAAACAGGTGATAGCTGTAATGCAAGTATTAGAAGCACCTTTTTTCACAGTCCAGTAGGTATTTTTTGAAAGAGTTTTCAGAATTTCTGGTGGAAAGAAATTTCATTTCTTGTTATTACATTATGCCCCATGTTGTGATTTTTTTTCTTAAGGAAAACCTGAAGCTGATACATTGTGAGACGCCAGGTTTTATGAGTGAAAAGAATAATTACATTCCAGGAGGCAAAACCTCACTCTGTCAGTAGGATTCTGCACTATAAATGCCAGAAAGAAGCAAGCATTGGGAGGCAATCCCATTTACTCTGTTTGGAACACACCAGCCTATTGCAAGCGGGAAAGACATTCAGTTTCTGAAGGAAAACAGTCCAACCTTTCAGTTCTGACTAATCCTGGCTGAAAATAGTTGACTGGATTTGGCTTTATTGAAATAAACATAAAGACGTGAATTATCCCCCAAAATTAATTTTTGTGCAATGGGATTTCCCCCATTTTCCCTCTGCTACATGATTTTCAAAGACATAACTTTATGAAGTTGACTTTTGCTCGAGTACATGATGAATATTAAAAATAGAAGTAGCCGAGTGAAAAAATAAGCAGAGAGGTGAACATTTGCATCTTTGGATACCTTTGGATAGTTTTTCATTGTGCTATTCGAGAGGCGTATTGGAAGTGATTTTTTTTTCTCCTAATCTACTCACTCCTCCTTTATGGATGGAATCTTTGCAAAATTCATATTATTAATAGCATATCAAATCCAGAATCACAGATTATTTACTTACATGTTATGGTATAAATGCATTTATACAAAGCAAGGTTCCTTAGGGGCCAACCAATCCTACAGTTTTAGTTTAGTGAATACACACACACACACACACACACACACACACACACACACATACACACACACACACACACACACGTGTATTTTTTTAAAGGAGGAAGACATCCATTTCCATATAAACAACACATCATGGACCTTAAGTCTTCTAAAGTCTATGGTGTTGTCATGTGTCACGTGCTTGATTTATATGGTTATAGCTCTCTGGCAGTAAATTATTTTCCTGGGAAAGTTTAATAGCCCTCCCAAATTGTAGTCCATGGATAGAAAGCATGATGCTTAAAGTGGTTGTATACCTGTGGGTGGGGGCGGAGTATTTCTCTATCTTTTGCAAAATGAATATTTATAGCCTTAGAATCCAGACACAGAGAACTTTGAACACTGAAATGTTTCACTGCTTTAAAGTCTGAAGGTAGTTGATTCAAAGCCAAATAACTATGCCAAAGAAAATGACCACTTCTTTTAAAGGGCTAGGATGTGATAAGACTCAGTCCATTTTTGTTTTACATGTTCAACTGCCTTTCTTTTCTTTTATCTTTTTTCTGAATGTGATAGAGTTAGTCATGATTTCACTCACTGGGTTTATTGACCCAAGAAAGGGAGGATGACCCCTTTGTTTGGTGACCATGACTACAGGCAGTACAAAGAGCTTCTGAAAGTTCTGGTAAAAGGAGGGTGTGTCAGAGGGCTGGAGCCTGCTTACAGTAAGAGCTTGACTCTGGTGTCCTCTCTCCATGTGAAATTTCCTTTCCTGGATGGGACATGCATTTGTAGAACCTCTGCCCATAACTCTGAAACTCATTCTGTCCCTCACGATTGCTATCTAGGTGGCACCTCTAGGATTGTGAAATCATCATTTTCTTGTACTGGAAGAAGAGAGTTCCCTCCCGCCTCCCTTTTCCACCCAAAACAACCCCTCATGCTTACTGAGTCTTCAGAAAGCCAAACCAGCTGTTCTCTGCAGGTCTGACTTGATGGTATTCCCATCCAGTGGGGAAGGTCTTGAGAAGTAAAGACTGAGGAAAAATGGACAGCTAAATGAGAATCTGAGATACGGCAGTATTATAGTTCAGATTACTCCAAGTTCATTCCATGTCTATTTACTAAAGCAACTGTGGCTGACAACGGTTCTATTTTGAACTTGCTGAGCTTAGGCTAGTAACTCCCAACTGTGGTAAACCTGGGGGTTTGCAAAGTCACTGAGCAGTCTCAGGTGTATCTATGTGGAATTTGGTTATGTTTTTCTAACAGGAAAAGGTTTCAGACACTCAAGTTTGAACAAGCCTTGAAGACTTAGAATTTGTTTCTTTGTCCAACCCCCATTTTGATGTTCTTGGGAGGACAACATAAACTGTAACCCAAAACCATGCAAGTACACTAGCCCTAACCATGCCTAACAGTATCTATAGCAATGGTTCCAGAAGAGCGCACACTGAGAATGCATTTACCATACCGAGGTTCTTGTGCCATTAAGTTGAATGGTGGCAGTGTCCGGTTGTGTGCCCAGCGAGGTGTGTTCTGAAGGAGACAGAGCACTGTGTCTGTGAATGCCTGTTTCTAACCACAATGCTTCACTGCTCAGCTGATCAGGGCAGTGGAAACAGTGGCCCAAGCTTCTTCTCTTGCCAAAGTTAGAGACTCTGAGGCTTTCCTTCATGCACAATTGAAAGCAGTTGTTCTGGGAAGTTCCAGAGTGCTAATAAAGGAATTAGGGGCAATGTGGGTTGCCACTTCAGTGTTGCTTATTTTTCCTGGATGAATTTTATCCAATAGCAAAAGAAGGAATTTTGCAAAACTTCTACCCACCCACAGGTTTTCATGAAAATGTCACTGACCAAAGACAGTTTTGAATTTTGTATAAATTGACTCATTTCTCCACAGGCATTTTGCCTGGCACAATCCAGTGTATTTGCTTTGGCTTGAATATTGGGCAGTTTTCTTTGTAAGTAATATTGGATTATGAAGACAAGGGAAAAAAATACATGGAGTTTGTGTCCTTCTTCTTCCTTTATGGCTTGATATATGGGTTCATGGTCCAGTTTTGGCCGTTCCTTGAGGAAAAGTAAATTCATTGTAAGCTTGTAGAAGGAAGTTTTTTCAAATCCCTGGTTTAGTGGTTTTTGATAAGACTTTTCATTGATGGGATGATCACAATTACATGTCCAGAGGGACATTAGGAAAATATTGTCTCATTGTAACCAATTTCATAACCTTCATAATGGCAAACATGCATGTTGTTATAATACCAAGTATCAATAAAGATAGCAAGAAGGCAGGATATGTGAATATTGTTGGAAAAGTAAATTAGTGTACCCTCTTTGGAGAGAGTTTGGGTACACTTATTAAGACTTAAGATAAACATATCCAACAAAACTATGTCTAAGTGTCCAGCCAGGAGATTCTTGTGTATGGCAGCAAGGAGCTGTGAGAAAAGTAAGGAATTTGCAGCTTCTAAAAAGCATAGATAACCCTAACTTTCCATAGATAAGGTGATTTATTTCAATTCAAAGAAGGAAACTAGGCACCAGTGGTCCATACTTGTAATCCTAACTACTCAGAAGATTGAGATCTCAAGGAAGGTGGTTCAAAGCCAACCTGGGCAGACAAAACTGAGATTTTTCTCTCCAGTTATTTGGTGGCTTCATTGGTTGAGTGCTGGCTTTGGGCAGAAAATGTTAAGGGATAGTGCCCTGGCCCTAAGGTCAAGCCCAAGTATCTTCAAGACAATATAAAGGAGCTTAACATTAATGAAAAAAAAATATATATCCTATCCACATAGGTAAATCTCAAAAAAAATGTTGGGTGAAATATAGCTATAAATGGATGCATGTAGTATACTAGAAAGTTATGTACACTTCAATACACTGAAGTATCATATAGTTTTGCTGATATATAATTATGTAATTAGGCAATGAAAATCTATTGACAGGATATTCAGTAATTTTAGGATAGTGAATAATTAATAGAGAGGAAGG